ACCTTTGGAAAAAAATAAATCTTTACATTTCACATTAATATGTTTTACATTTAAGGCATTGAGTTAATATAATGATTTTATAACTCTTATTCCTTTACTCACTGATTTTTGGATGTAAAAGTGATATTAATTTTTAATGTATAAATTTGGATTTTACTAAAACCGGCTGGCTCAGAGTGTGAGTAAAAATCGCTGTCCCCCATTTGTCCCAATAGGTCCCTTATTTGTCTTTGTATTTTAAAACTTATAAAACCCTGGGAATACAGACAATGGGTTTATAGCGAAAATAATTTATGCCGTCGATTCCCAGGCGCGGCATCTGCCCATTAGTATGGCGCAAGTGGCTACTATGGCCCTCCTCCGCTATATTAGTTAGAACGAGCCGTGTATTTACGATTTATTTTTTATGTACATACATATTTTAACATACGTTAAAATAACCTTTGTCCTGATCAAAAATAAAATTAAAATCCCATATATTTGTACATACATTTCATGCAAAATTCGTTATTTTTCTTGAATGTAGAATATTCACGCTTAATTGTTTGTTGCAGTGTTTATAATATAGTTGTAGTTTGTAAATATTGCTAGGTAAAAGTATTTAATAATGAACTAATTAAGAAATAAGTTAAATTTAAGTTGAAGTTGTTTATATTAATATGTTCGGCTCCATTGGCACAACATTCAACCAAATCTAAAGATTTTAGAAACTATTGTGATAGAATGATAATCAATAATTGAAATGTAAAGTTTTATTATAAATATTTTTGTAATTTTAAATTTTCAGTGTTTTGTACTACATTTGGATCGAGGTCTTGTGTTTACGCGAATATTAAACGTAATAATGTATTAACGGTAAATTATTATACGTTTCAGAGGAAAATACGACGTTTCCCCTGGTACGTATTATAATTTGACTTGTTTATTTAAAGACTGATAAGTTGATGGCTATTAATAAAGCGCCTGTTAAAATTAGGTTTTAAAAACTGATTATTTTATTGTTAATTAACATTGCTCGGTAAATTAGGACTAAGTTTCACCCTATGAGACACAATCGAACGAGCTGTGGGTACTTTAGCTAATTAACGGCGATTCTAACAACTGCCTCCGGTAACGTTATCCTAGTTTGCGATTCACATATTGAAAAGGGAGCTGCAGACTCTATACGAGCCTGTGCGATGTCTGGGCTCCCATACGTGCTAGATAATATACCAGCGCCTACGTAACTTTCGTAGTCAGGGTGTACTTTGTTGGCGCCGTGTTCGTCTCAACGGTGCATATTAAGTAATAGCTTAACTTTCAGAATAATATAATATAAAATATTTCCGTCTGGTTGGTTCGTATTTATATATGTATTATATAAAATATTTATATCTATATGTTTATTTTATTCATAATATTTATTTTATATATGCAATAGATATCTATATATTTTTTTTATCTATAAACCCAACCAGACGAGAAAACAAATGAATATCCCCCCAATATAAATATTTTAGGACACATTTTTACACAACGTTCTCTAGTACCAAGCTAAGCAACGCTTGTACTATGGGCACTAGATAACTGATAAACATACTTAAACATACTTTTCATTTGTAAATAAATACATATTATGCATATGTAAACACCCAGACACTAAAAAAACACTATATTCATCACACAATATTTTTCCAGTAGTGGGGATCGAACCCACACCCTCTGGCGTAGGAGGCAGGTACACTACCCACTACACCATTCGGGTCGTCAGAATGTATAGATGGCAACAATGAAATCGTTAAGTGCTGACATATCACGTGGTCAGTGGTGAAGGAAAACATCGTGAGATGGCCAGCATATTTTAGAAATAATAGCAAAAAAATTGTTCGAGGATATGACGTGAAGTCCGCAAATCCGCAGTGGGGTCGCGTGATGAACTGTGCCCCAATATACAGGCACCACTGCCTTTGAATGGCAGCCGATTTTTTTATGTGAGCGCGCCCGTGGAGTCACAGATTTGTTAGTAGTGGGTGGATGTGACTTTTTGACGTTCAATAAGAGCTTAAATATGCCTATATGGAATAAAGAAATTTCCACTTTCACTTTGAATCCTTAAAAGAGTAAGTGAAGTAATTCACTCGCCAGACGAAACGAAAAAGTATAACTTCCACGTCAATCTTCTATGAGTTCGCAAGTATTTCCCTTAATTCGAGCTTAAGAGTACCAAAAGAGCCAAAGAGTAGTTAAGACTAAAGCGGAAAGTAAATAACTGTCCAGACAAAAACAGTGTGGAGTATCTTGCAATATGTATACATTTCCCGCTCCCCGTCTCCAATATAACCACTATTAGGTACGGATTTACAGACAGACCGCCGGATCAATTTGCAGGCTCGTATCGCAGGCGCGGTGAAAAAGCGACAAATTAAATATTTAATAGCGCTCTGACAGGAAGGGCGCGCCGGGCGGCGAGACAGGTCGTTTTTTAACGAACAAACCCCCGCTAATGGAGCTATTGGAAGTTTTGATTTTTCACCGATCGTGTGCAGATGTGCCTTTTTCATTTTGTGTTTTCAATTTCGAAACGCTTGTCCGAGTAAAACATAACTTCATACAATCGCTCATATCTTTTTTTTTACAACAGGCAAAACTTTTTGGTACTATAGACAATACTACCAGCCATGTTTTACGGTCGGTTTCAATATTCTGTCTACAGATAGATTTGGTAACTAGAAACCGGCCGTTAGTGACATGAAGTTAGCTCTCTAACGGCTGGTTTCATTTAGTTACTTTGGATAGAATTTTGACGCAAGTATTAAATAGTTAATGTCAAATACCTATCGCTAGTAAGCAAATCTATCTGCAGATAGAATATAGAATAACGAACCGTTAGACAATTCTTTTTTAACCTTATATCTATATTAGTTTTTCCCTTGATATATTTATATATTTTATTCTCAGATTTGCTTACATAAATTTTATTGCATCTTTGAACTATGTAGAAGTATTCAGTATTTTCAGTGCTATGTTTTGTTGTTTCCTCAGAGACTTACTGGTGATCTGACAACTATTTTTTACCATTTTTTGAAACAGTACAGCAACAGATAGACCGTGAACAAGCTAAAGTTAACGTGTATTGGAATTGATAGAATTGAATTTTGTCTCTTATAGCCCGTTATGATACTAAATAGACTCGAGTAGCAGCGTGTTGCCGCCTTCTTCGTTGAAGCAGTAACAAGCTTTATAGTGATCCAATGAGACGTCGCGACATCAGCGTCTTAAAATGCAGGCGACGGAATAGTGCAGTAATTGCTCTTTAGAGCCGGCATGGCGGCTTCGAAACATTATTTTTATTTGTTTCCCAAAGTTTTTTGAAATGTAGAGGTTGTATAAATAAAGCAATTATGTCCCAATTATTGTATGTTTTTATTCACTCATGTTGAAGTAGACTAGGAAGTAGTATTCAATGGAATTTAACTGATTACTGTCCACCTGCCACAGAACTCAAAACAAAAAATTTCATCCACACCATCTAGATGTCCAGCGTTCCACAACAGCGCGATTTTCAAGACATTTCTTGCCTCGGAATTCTGTGGAGCCAGCTGCCGCCGGCGGTCTTTCCGAACCGTTACGATCTGGGAACCTTCAAAAAGAGAGCATTCTCTTTCTTAAAAGGCCGGCAACGCATTTGTGAGCCCTCGGGAGTTGCAGGTGTTCATGGGCGGAGGTAATCACTTACCATCAGGTGAGCCTCCTGCTCGTTTGCCCCTTTTCTCCATAAAAAAAAAAACATTTGATTGCGCCATTACTTACAAATGGGGTCACGGTACTTAAGGACTGGCTAGTTTTGTGCAAAACTTTGAAGAAATATGAATAAACAGTAACAGTAAGTATTGTTTTTACAAGTATTGTTTTAAAAACCATCAGGAAAGTTGATCCGTTTGAAAATACATATCATCAAAGTCCACCTAATCATGTTATGTGCCAAGCGCACAGTATTTTCAGAATTATGACAAAAAATATAAATAGTGAAAATTATAAACAGTCCTATTTGCTTTATTAAAATAGATCAGTAGTAAAATAGAGTGAAGAGAAAATCATTAAATAATTTCACCGCAATAATTTAACAGCTTTCTATATTTTGTTATTCGCTAATATCGTATAGAACCTTTTGTTTCATTGCTGTTATTAAAAACGTTCTCAGACGCCACACACAAATCCGTAGCGAACGTGACAATAACACGCAAACCTTCAAACGAACGGGCATAAATCAGTCCCGGGGCCGTTGTACCCGGCGGAAGCGGAAACGGAGTCGATGCACCCTGAGCCGGCGCACACATACAGGCGGGCAGTCGGCACACGCGGCCGCTCGCGCCTGTGTGCGTGACACGGATAGAACGCGGAAGTACAACATTAACATATATTCGCCACCCGCACATGCGCGCGCACTGTAGGTTTTGCTCTGTGTGCGCGTGTGTTCGTACAGTTCGTGGACACTGCTACGGGGGTGTGGCGACGTGTATGATTTGAGGGAAACTGGGTAAGGGTGGCTGTGTGTAAGTCTGCTCGCGCTTGTGTGCGACGCCGAGCTCACTTGCTTTTATACAGTATGTGTTTTTTTAGTTTAGCTCGAGAGCATACTCCATTCCGCCATACCCATATTTTCCCAAATGTTGGGAATTTTTTTCTGTTAGATGATATGTTGTATAATTCAGAGATGTTTTTGAATTTACAACATATCATCAAGGAACAACAACAAAGTGATTGTTGTATGACCTTTTTGTCATTAGCCTGTTGTTTGAATTATAATAATTTAACCAAAATATTCGTAGTAAATATAATACGAATTATTGTTCTTCGTAATTTTTACTATTCCTAATCAATTTGACAAGATAAGAGTGCATATTCGTATATTTTACAGCGAGTAGGTTTTTAAAAATGAGAAATAAATTTTCGAAAATCAAATCAGTCTGTGTTTGTCTAGGGGCGCGGTGCTCTGTTGTGGGGGTGCTGCGTGGGTATGTATGAGTGCGGCTGCGGGGCTCGCCCGGCGCACCCCCGTTCACGGCCAGGGGTCGCCGACCGCGCCCGGGCTACGCCGTAACCCCACTACGGAGCTACGGCTCGTAGCTTCCTCTTTTGTTTTAATTTCACACATCTACTCGTATATGTAAGTAAGTGTAGCTGTGTGTCTTCTAGTTATTGGGTCACTTGATTTTTTTTTCTTAATTAAAGAAGGTCCCCGTTGTGTGGGCAGCATGTGATCATACGTCAATATAAGGCAATGAGAATTAATGATAATTTTAATAATTAAAGATTACGTGAAAAACAAGAAATAGCCCGAAAAGGACTCTAAATTATTAATTATTTTTTATTTATATTATTTTTATTTATAATTTAATTATTTTAATAATAAATCCTCGCAGAGGCCAAAAACTTTTCATTCATTACTGTACAGATTTTTAAAATTTTCAGAGAATAGCTTTGTAAATATCAATATCCCTTAAAAAAGCTACTTTATTACTTTCCTTTTATTGTTGAAAACATTAGCGTTTTTGCAGAGTCGCGGCTCACGGTATTCCGGTGAGAGAGCCCGCGAGCGACTCTACCACGACTCTCGTCGCTTTTAAGGGAATTAAAAGTTCACCGTCAGGAGTGTCTGCACAATAGCTAGGGTGTCTATAAAACCTTACCGACTGGCTTTGTAGTGCCAACAGATTGTATTGCAAGCCCATAAAGGTATTGACACGCGAATGAACACCCGAGTCGAGTGCGCCATTGTCTCCTGACTACTGTAACCATTATGTGGGACACCGGCTGAATGTGATTGGATTTTTCTTTAATATTATTTGTATTTTAAGGATTTCATTACGACACGATGTATATATTGTTGATTTCATATTTGAATCGAGTTCTTTGAAATTACCATTGTTATTGCTGTGCACACAATTGGCAAAATAGTAGGCAACGATAGTAGAAGTTGTTTTTAAACATTAATGATCAACGTCTTTCGTAACGCCTTTTTGTTTTAGTTACTTTTTAGTGTACGCGCATGCGTCTATGATATGTGTTTGTCGTTTGACTATCAAAGTATACAAATTATTACACATACCTCGTATTTGTGATTGTTTTTCCTTTAAAACGAAATGAAATGGCGTAGCCCAATCACGCGTTTAACCACGGCGCCGTAGCCTCCGTTTGCTCCTTAATAATGCATGTGCCATAGTTCAAGCTCCCGCTAAAGTTCCGACGACATTGTCCACCACGCCAATGTTTTATGAACATTATACGAGGCTTTTCATTATGTACCGGCTTCAAATCATGATAAAAAAGACAGTCAGTTAATACTTTTATTGAGCTTTGTACTTAATAGTCAGTGTATTATGTACGAAAGAGACAAAAATATTCATTATGAACACAACTGGGATCGAAAAGAAGAGTCGAACATCCAAAGTCCAACTATGACTGAATATGTTAGAGTGATATAGTAGCGGATCAGAAAATTCGTTATTTAAGAATATGCTGTTCTAAAATATCTGTTTAATAAATTATGTTGTTAAATAGCAAGTTAAGGGTTGTTAAATAGCTGAAAACGACCAAAAATAAGCTAATATCATGAAATTTTTTTTTGGTTATGTTTGGTTTTAAAAAATTACGAAAAAATGCATTGCATAACATTATTAAACAACATTTAGTATGTGTTTTGCGCTACAAAGTTAGGTATATGTATAAAAGTACTAGAGGTGCTACTCCGTCGTAGAGTCGAAAGGGTCACTGCGGCGGAAATGAACTATTCCCGTGGCCTATCTACGCCATTGTAGTTTTAGGACCGCTAATTTGCATCATGTTTTTGAAATGCTTCAACAGAAGTTGAGATGAGGATGGATGAGGAGGGAGCAATCATGTGAATTCGATCAAGTTGCTAAGTCATAATTTTTTAAATTTATTAGTAAAAGATAAGCAAAAATATGGTTAGAAACAGTTTACCAAGAATTTAAAAGTCAATTTCAAAATATCTTTATACAAATGTCTGACGCTTGTGCGTTCTTATGAACCGTCGATATTTTACATAAAAATTAATACGTAAGTTTTTAGGTAATTTACCACCGCCGGTTCGGAAAGTAATTTCTGTTGAGTTGCAACAGTTGCTCTTTTTTTAAAAAGTATTATTTTAGCTTACGTGAGTATCAACAGTATTAATGCCACACATTGGCGTCGTCTAGATATTCCGCAATGTTATAATATCACAGCACCAATGCCAAAGTACATTTTCCGACTAACAATGTACAGGATAGCACATTAACAAAAGACGATATTAATTCTCTCGAAACGACAAAACGGTGATTTCTATTCATACAGAATGCTTCACGATAAAATGCATTTTCCCCGGGCCCGGAAGAATCACGGTGGCCACGTCACCGGTTACATAAGCCGCGCCGGGGGTGGGGGCGGCTTACGCAAGCCGGGCGGCGTGCGGCGCGGGGGCGGATCGATGCGCGGCCGTTCACCCGCCTGCAATGCGCCGCCCGGCCGCAGCGCAGCCCCTGCAGCCTATGCCGCCCTGGTACCTACGTGTCTGCGCGCTACGCGGCTCACGCGCCCGGAAGAGCTGCACAGACAGACAGACAGGCGGGCACTGCTGTACACCTTGCTGTATAGTGTAGAGCATCAATTGTCTGTTAAATTCTTCCTGCGTTTCTCCTCGAACGTTTGAGAATCTTCACCTATTAATGATTACCCAAAGAATATATGGTTTATCTTTCATTTTCAGTTTACGACCACTTTAACACTTTATTTCCCCACATAATTTCGAAATAACAGCTAAATCGGATGATTTGTATGTGATTATTTCTACACAAAAATCAGATAAGTAGACAAGAAAAGAGAAAAACACAGATTCGAAGTTCTAATAATCATTTGTTTTTCTTCAAAAACTTATTCGCTAAAGAATCACTTAAATTATTTTAGTGAAGATCTTCATGACTATGATTTGACATATTATGCAATAATTTCTATGCTTCGTTTGATTTAATACAAATAAAGAATAGAAAATACTACATTGTAAAAGTATCGGTACCTTTAAAGTACCTTTTAAATAATAGAGTAGGCATAGTCCGTTCTGAATACAAACAACATCGTAGCACGTTGTATAGTGCTACTACGTGCTACGGATCGTAGGAGGTCTACGCACCTTAACAAATGCGGAGAGTCGCGCGCGGGATTGATTTTCCCGGGCTTTCGTATTCGTAGCAGGCTCCCGCGGCTTTTCAGATGGCGGAATTGGCAAAGAGAAGTTATATTCATAGAGCAAACTGAAATTATATTCTTTGTGGTTTTTCGGACCAACATTATGATTATGGAACGATATGAAAACAAGAATTATTAATGTGAAACCCATTTTGTAACAAACACGTGCGGACATCAAACCAAAACACAGTAAAATAGTATGTTGTTTGACATAATAATGTAAAATTAAAATGCAGCAGGATAATGTATAAACGAGTTAACGTAAAATATAAAAAAATATACATGAACATTATCAGTTATGTAACCATAAAAAAGTGATATTTATAATTTTATATAAATTATAAATATCACTTTTTTATATATATTCAATAAAATAAAGGATTTTCATTAATCTATTAATATGATAATGAGCCATCTCGTAACTTGTATGTTTAAAAGTATCATAACATTTATAAGTAAAAACTCAATAGAATCCACGTCGACGCCAATGAATATTATTTGAAAAAAAAAAAGTTTATTTATCGGGAATACAACAAATTACGAAAATACGAAAATAGTCACATTCATAATTGGATGTTGTCAAAATGTAGGGAGACAATTAACGAAATAAGAGAGAATATCTATAGAATAACTCAGTTATGATTATCCTATGTAAACATTTATGACATATTTTCGTTTAAATAATTCTGATATTATCGTACTAACGCTTTTTAACCGAGTTCGAAAAAAAGAATGAAAATATTAGCAAAAATAAAACAGAGAATTGTAACCTCCAAATACGGACATATACAATTACTTTTATTATGCGAATTGGTATGATGGTTGCTAAAATGATTATATCTTTAGAAATACTGTTAAGTTTCATATAATATACTATTAAAGTTATTTTACAGTTTGACTGCACACTTATATAATAACGAAGTGATAGTGTACGGTAGTTAGTATCAGGATATTATTTACCTATGCGCATAAATAGTGTTTGTTAAGGATTATTATTATTAAGCATGTTTAAGAAGTCACGGTTATGAATCTCAATAGCGTGCTATACTATTAATTTGTTACATTTTCGGAATATCTCAAGCATTATAATTATATTTTTTTATAATTATTCCTTATAATTATTCATTAATAATACGGTGGTAGGGCTACTTTCACGTTTCGTCTGGTGAGTGAGGTAGCCGGAGCCCAATTTTCAAAAGGTTGTCAACGCATCTGTAACCCTCGGGTGTGGCAGATGTCCATGGGCGGCGGTATTCAGTTAACATCAGGTGAACCGTCTGCTCGTTTGACAACTTTTCGCATAACAAAAAAAAATCATCTGACAGTGGTATAAGGTGTAAGCGCGACTATTACTAAGACTCCGCTGTCTGTCTGTCAGTCCGTCTGTCATCGGGCTGTATGTATCTCATGAACCATGATAGTTAGACAGTTGAAATTTTATAGATAGAAATAAGAGAATAAAAAAATATATTCAAGTGGGGCTCCCATATAACAGACATGATTTTATTGCCGTGTTTATAGATCATGGTACGGAACTCTTTGTAGGGTAGTCCGACTCGCACTTGACCGGTTTTTCAAGATATTGGATTAGTAAGTGCCACAACTAAATGCTTACTACGGCTGTTATAAACGCACAAAAATGATCTAGTCCTATACAATTACAAATAAATGAATACCGGTAAGCTTTTACACTAACTACATATCGGTTATTATGTTATGTAACCTCTTATAATGCTTTACAAATTTTAGTTATACACAAACACTTATGGAATAAGAAGAAATTAAAAGAAATTAGAGAGAGTCAAGAGATAACCACAGAAAAAATTTAAGAATATGATGATGCTGATCTCTTATTATAGATAAAATTATTAATTTAATTGTTGATATGAAACCTATCACACGCAATCTTTACTCTTTGTCCGGGACATTGACCTCAATGGAGTGATTCTCGAACGTTCTTCCTGGCTCAAAACATTTTTATATTCACTTAATAAATTTCATTATAAATTGTAATATTTATTTTGTAATGTAATATATATATATATATATATATATATATATATATATATATATATATATATATATATATAATATATATTTATTTTATAATTGTAATATTTATTTTGTAATGTAATATATATATATATATATATATATAAATGAATTAATCAGATAAATAAGGATACATCTTTGGCTTTGGGCTTTCACTTTCCACTGAGTTTGTATTTTAATCGATTCCTCTATAAATTGGTTGAGCAAATGAGCTGCTAACTTGTATCAAGACTTGATAAATTATATCCTTAAACTAGTAACATGATCTCAGGGTTAGTTTAGTTGGAACTGCTCCTTCATTGTTTAAATTAAACGACTAGACTATTTCGAATGAAATGGTGCAATTGCCAAGTACTTTATTGGCTTCGGCGTCATGGGTCGCGGGTTCGATTCCCACGCTAGAAAACTATTTGGGTAGCCACAGATAATTATTTCAGATCTGGTGTTTGTCCACGCGAAATTTATACATGTAAATAGTGGTTACAGCACAGGATAATGTCACCAAACAGTAAAGGGGTTTCGAAGGGAAGACTACAACAAATCTTCCTAGTTCTCAGTGGTCGTAAGAACTTACTACCCAACCCCTTCCACACAAAACAGGAAAACAAATTGCGAAGATTCAGTTACTGATCGATACTAAACTCATTCATTGGTTACATAAGCATAAGTGTTTGCTTATTTTTAGTTTTTCTCTCTAGAGCTAAAAATATAATAAAGTGAAAACTGCTTTTGATTTACACTATATTATATTTGTTAGTCGCAGCCAAATACATCAATGTTTTATGATAATTGTTATTGTTTAATGTCCATTGATAACATATAACAGGAAAAAATAACCTTTTATTTATTCTTACTCTTTTTTCTGAAGTATTGTTAATTTTCTGCCTTACAAAATTAGAGTTTAGGAGTGTATAAGTGTGTAGGCATCATCAGTTTGAAATTTGGAGGATTGTCCTTCGTACTTCCGCCAAGGTTCTTGGCATAAAAAATTGTTTCACTTGTATATTTATCGTTGGAAAATCAGACATCGTTACTAAAATAACGAATAACCATTCTTGACGAATAACCATTAACCATTGAAAATCATTAACCTAGAACTAGTTCTCGTAAGGGAAGCGAACCATAATTTTGAAAATTACACTTAACGACCTTTTATCTTTTAACATCTAAAAGACACGTATGTTCATTTAGACTTAATTTTAAGACACGTCAAGATATGGCTCAAGAATATTTATTATTCATTTTCAAGAATATTTATTATCATTAGTAATCATTACGGCAATTAAGAAATAAATTCGTGCACGGAATAATCAAAGTGCCAGCAAACATTATCTTCATGAACTATCCGACAATTGGGATTGCAACCCAAGATATAAACTCTCCTAAACTACGAGCACTTCCAAGCCACCAGCCAATCGCTACACCCGTGCTGCTACACGACGCAGTCTAAATCAATATCGCGTTAGTCTGCTAACGCCGGAGATTCAGTGTCGTAAGCGCGATCGAAAACGGCCCCCCTCGAATCGGTCTGTATTTGCACACACAGCCGCGTATTTGCGCGGTGTGGATGCGACGGCTGGCCGAGAGGAATGCATTCGATACCTGACCTACCCCTACCGGCGGGACGCCGCACCGTCTAGCTCTAACTATAGCCCGCCAGACTACTACACAGGCACTAAATTATACACCACTAGGTTTATTGTGGGGGAGGTCGCTGCGCTGCGACTGCGGACTTAGGCAGCGATTTCCGACAATAAAGGGCGCTAAATAAGAATGTTCTTAAGGATTACGTCGCGTTCAATATGCGTCATGATTTCCGACGTTCACACGGGAGGTTATTGGCATATTTTATGGTGGTAGAGCCACACAGCAGCCTCGGATGTTGCACGAATGGGCAGGCCCGTCCGGGTAAGTACCACGACCTCATAGAAGACCGGCGTAAAGTCGAAGTATAATACTTTCGCGTTTCGTCTGGTGAGTGAGGTGGCCGTAGCCCAATTTTCAAAAGGTTGTCAACACATCTGGAACCCTCGGGTGTTGCAGATGTCGGGTGTTTGGCAACTTTTAATATACAAAAAAAAAACGATCACCATGGACTCTGTTAAATACTCTAAACCTACTTTATAAAGTTATAAAAGTCAAACGTTTTACTATTAGAGGTAATGTCGCAACCGCTGAACTGGTGTGAATGAAGCTCAGTATCGAAACGATACGTCAAATCTGGCCCTGGTGTATTCATCATAACCACATCATAATTTCAGCCTGTTTTAGTCCACTGATGAACATGGGCCTACCCACACTTTAATCTTGCGGGGGTGCTTCACCGTTGCTGCCACGCCTGGCCAGTGCTTTTTCCAAAGCATTTAACTCGTTATTGTCCAAACATCAAATGGCCTATGATGGGGAAAACCA